TACTTTAATAAACTGTTATAAATTTAGTTTCTTTTAAAATTTTACATTTATATGTATTTTTCTCTAAAAGTTATCCAGGCAGAGTTTATTTTAATTAATTTCTTTATAAATACTTGTATGAAACATAGAGTTCTTTTTTATAAATTAACAAAAGTAAAAAAAAAATTAAAGAAACTATGCAAGAAAATTTTTACAAAATTAATTTATGCCTAAACTAATTATAATTTATAGAAAGAGCAACTTCTTTTATTTTCTTTTTATTTTTCTTTTGTAAGAGAGTATATAAAAAATCATCCAACATAAACATATTTTTTTGAAAGGCCTCCAAGTGATTTGGAAATGCAATTTTTTTTCTATTAAACATTGATATAGATATAGCACATCATTTTTCTATATGCTTAAATGACAAAAAAATTACCAAAACACGGAAAATTTAACATCCCAAAAACCATGTTCATGCATTTCTTTCAATGTGAGATCATACACAAAGATAATCTAACTCTAAATGAATCATCATAAATAAAAAAAATATATTTATCCAAATATTTAACTCGTACTCGAGACCATAATGATGTATTGAATGTTGAATTATTTCAATTAATTTTCCAAAAAAACAAAAGCAAATAAAAAAGTTCCATCAACAGAACTTTGGGCATATCTCAGAATTAAATCAACCAACTGAATAATTTAAGTAGTATATATATATATGCATACATCCATGGATCATGTCATCTTGAGTTCAGTAAGTTAACAAGACAAAACCTTGTTGCAATGGAGACATAATCAAGAGAGTCTCAAAATGTTGAAGTTGTGAATGAAAATGTGATATTAAAATTAAATCTCTTGGCTTAAAACATTTTATCTAACCGCCGCCTCCGTCACCACCACCGCCACCGTCACCACCGAGTCCGCTTAAACGACGATCTGGTTTTCTTGGATGCGTAACACTACCACCATAACGGCTGCTATATCTACTTGAACGATGAACTGGTGGTGGTGCTCTTCGTGGATATGGATCGTTCTCGTCAAGCCCACAGGAAAATATGATCATTGATATAAGAAAAAGAGACAGAAAAACGATTCCCAACAAAACTAAGGTCCCTGAGTTATACCAAATTACTTCCTCTTGAGCACCACCATGAAACATTGCAAGGAATTCTCTAGCCATTTTTGGGACCTTATCTTTCTAAACCCTTCCTATCATATACTTTCAAATCCGACCAGGCTCCTCGTGACCACTTTCATCTTCTCACCTAGCTACCATTAATTGGGTCAAAAGCTTCCAGAGTTTATATTCTATAAAACCTAACACAAGGGTGCATACTATATTAGTAAACCCTACTGTGGTAGAAAATTACTTTATAGAATAAATACAAAAAACATTTCAAGCAATTAAATAGGGATTCAGATCCTGAAAATGTCAAGATCCAAGCCTAGGAACCAGAGAAAAACAAAGATCCTGACATTTTGGTGGAGAACCGGACAATTTTGTAACGGGAACCGGTGAAGATGAAGGGTTATAATATAATGTTATAAAATTATCTACATGATCTGTATTTTATAAACCATAGTGGTTCTATTTGGTTCATGTTACTTTTCTCAAAATACACTTTTGTGGCGTTTTTCATTGTTATAATATATCAATGTTATAAATATTATATTATTGGAAAAGGTAATGTTGGTTACGTTTGGTTTAGAATGTTAACTGTGAAACTTAAATTCGCCACCTCAGTTCATTTTAGTTAAATCATTTATTGATTCTTATTTTTTTTTATTTAATTGATTTTTCTCTAGTTTTATAAACAGAGAGTTATTCCTCTATTCTAAAACATATCAAAATCCATCTTCTCTTATTCTTTTTTTCTTATTAGTTTTATTATTTATTTTTTTAAATCTTCTAAAATTATTTTAGATTTATTTTATATTATTTTCAAATATTTTTATTAGTTTTGAAATCCTCATAAATTTCTTAGTTGTTGTTATATTTTTTGAGACTTGCATATATAATATATCATAGATAAATCTTTAAAGACCTTATTACGTTTCAGAAAATTTTGTTCATTTTATACAACATTTTTCATATTATCAATCAATTAGAAATCATACGCCTAATTCAATTTTATAAAATGTGATTTTCAGTTCAATAAATTTTATTACATATGTTTAAAAAAATGAAGTTTACATTCACTTACGTCTAATCAATTAGTTTTATCTGTCTTCAATTATTTCTTACAAATAGGTTCCAGATATGAATGTTAATTAAAGGAACACATAGCGTTAAATATTGAGTAATGACAGATACAACTTCCATTGAACCAACCTATTCTTACATTATTTAAACGATACAAAAGAGCATAGTGATTTACAAAAGTCAGTTATATACACTCATCATGGGTATAAAAGCAGAAGGGGACCCCAACCAGAGGATAGGAACTTAGAAAACTGATGCAGAAGTTACATCAACAAAATTCTAGTATACATGTCAAATTATTAAAGGCCCTCTGTCCATAAAGTACAAGCTTCTGATATGGGTGTTTGTATTTCCTGAAAAATTGAGCGATTTTATACTTTGAATTCCTACATAACAGTTACACAAAACAAGCACAATCAAAGAATCATCAGATTACCTAAGGAAGCTGCAGATGACGATGATGTACATTGTCAGATTTAACAATCGTTTCCCACTTAAGGTAAAATGATGTTGTCTGGAGAGTGACATTGTGCATGAAGGTTTGCAATAAAGCTTGACCGTGAAGTCACGTTCTTTTTGGAAATGGTAGGTAAAGTGCGCTTAAGCCAAGACTCTGATGGAGCTTTTAGTGAAGGTAGGACCAAAGGAAGTCCAAAACAGCTTGCACCAGATGTTTCTTGGTGGCCCGACTCTGTAAAACGTTGTCTCTCTAAGGCATTCTTCCCATCATATCTTACCTTTGAGCTATCCATACAACATTCTTTATCTACCCATTTGGCTGATAAATGGCTCTTCAACTCAACTTCTGAATTTTGATTGAGGCTATTAGAATTGTTTCTCCTGCTGTAACATTGACTTTCTGAACTCATCTCCTTAAATGCAATCATTTCAGAATCTATTGAAGGATTATTGTAAACGCTATTATCTCTTCTCGAAGTCTCATAATCACCCCCTCTGGTATTGGTTTGAGAGGTGACCTTATTCACAGAATCCACATACATTGTTTTCTCATGAACATGGCTTTCATAATCATGTTGACTGCTCTCAGAGGATGCTATTTTTCTGCGAACTCTTTGATGTGGATCGGTGCCATGTCTAGATTTTACTAGAGTATCCAAAATCTCTTTTTTTGCTTTAAACCCACAGGTAGTTCTAACTTGCTGCAGAATAAGAAAATAATAACAATTAACCGCATCTAAAGTGAAATAATGGCAAAAGAAAAAAGTAGATAAAGACAAATTAATACCCCTTTTGTAGATCCAATGTAAGAAGCACCTGATTTAGCATGCATTCGATGAGCCGCTTTTCTTTGAACCTTATCCATTGTTAATCCAGGTATTGGATTCAAAAGACAGAACCGAGGAAATAGCCCACAAGTAGTAGTTGTGCATTTTTCGTATTCATTGCAGTCAATACTTTCTTCTACGTTCGCTTCTCTCTTTTTCTGTTTTTGTTGTTCTTGTCCAACAAGCTCCTTCTTGGACACATGATGTGGTGCTTCAGATGTTGCTGCAGGGAAGAACCTATCAATCATGAAATCACGAGCTTGTAGATGATCACTTGAGAAACTCCCATATGATTGAGCCTCTTGTTCCTCCCAGCCACTCAAACCAGATAAACTACAGCTCGTGAAGAATGACTCACTCCTGGAAAGTGTGTCGAGACAATCTTTATAGGATTCATCTCCATCATCTGAATAAGAACTTTCCTTCTTCATATTTCCATCTTTTGAATATTTTGCTACTCTTTTATCCAAAGATGCAACCCTTTGAGAGTTGGAAAAAAAGGAGCTTCCGGTTCTCATCTCAGTAACTGATTGTTGCTTGATTTCTGATACTCTCCCAATAGGCTGCTCGGCAGCTTGTGTCTGTAACTTGCTTTCATCTTTGGGTTTTCCTGGGGCTTTCTCCCATACAAAAGGCACAGTTCCAGCATTCCTCACAGGAACTGACTTTAACTCTGAATGGTAAGCAAGAGGAGGTGGAAGTCTGGCTAATTTGTAATCAGTTTTGCTTCTGCGGTCTGCTTCATTGGCCACTGTTGATGAGAAACGCCTCACTGATAACAGTGGCTGGTTAAAATTCAACTGTTTTTCTTCCATTAGATCTTTCAGTATCATGGAATTAGCTTCTGCGAAACACCAAAATACAAACTACACTCAAACTTAGCCTTTTCATGAATATGTGAAAGAAAAATACACTCACATTGTTACAGTGAAAGAATTCGAGAGTAATAGGGAATAGAACCACTGAGCCTTTGGATGATGTTATCCATAAGAAATTAATTTTTGGATAGCTTAAGAACGAGTTAATTCATACAAGTTCTCTTACATAATTGTTAAAGATTTTTTCTTTTAACTTGCAAGAAATCGCTAACAAATATAGCTTATATGACCGGCAATTACAATCAAACCAGACCATCAAATAAACAGAAATTTTAGTTTTATCAGTTAGGCCAAGGCCAGCATTCATCAAAAGCAGTCACGTCATTCAAGAACTAGGACCAAGAAAGCTCTGATGCTTGCATTAGAATAACAAAGAAACATATTTTTATTTCCCGTACAACATTCACCGTGTCATTCATCACCATGTACGAAAAACCAAGAAACGCCAACAAACACACACGAAAACAGAGAGAAAAAGAGTTCAGGAAAAGAACCTTGGAAAGAAAAAATGAGTCGGCCCAGGAATCAACCCACTTTCCTCGTTTGGAAAGCTAGTGAATAAAGCCTGCAAAGCAGAAGCAATTTCTTGTCTTGCACAAGGACATGAGATAAAGAAAACAAAGAAAGAAAGGAATTGCTTTGAGAATAACACATAAACTATGTTGTACGCTTGTGTCTGTTGCTTTGCAGCAGAGGTGAGTAAATCCTTCTCTTCTCTCTCTAGAGTGTAAGCACATACATTATGATCATTTCATGTTCCTCGAGACTAGCAAATAAGTGTGTGATCATGTGACAGAGAAGCCGGAGCAGGGATAACCATGAAAAGAGTTGAAAATCACAAAAAGGGCAACCCTGCTTTACGTGTTCGATTGTTGAGGAAAGAATAATGTTTTCTACAAACCTTGGTGAGAGTAACACAGATAGCAGATAGAGCAATATTAATGAGTGATGTGATTAAATATGATAAGAGAATAAAACATGAAACGTGTCAAACAACACTATTTGTAACTCCTCTGTTCTTGTGCTTCCTTCTGTTTATTTTCTTGCTAAAAGAAATTAGGAATATGCTAAATCCAAATCTGCNGTGAAGGTAGGACCAAAGGAAGTCCAAAACAGCTTGCACCAGATGTTTCTTGGTGGCCCGACTCTGTAAAACGTTGTCTCTCTAAGGCATTCTTCCCATCATATCTTACCTTTGAGCTATCCATACAACATTCTTTATCTACCCATTTGGCTGATAAATGGCTCTTCAACTCAACTTCTGAATTTTGATTGAGGCTATTAGAATTGTTTCTCCTGCTGTAACATTGACTTTCTGAACTCATCTCCTTAAATGCAATCATTTCAGAACTTGAATCTATTGAAGGATTATTGTAAACGCTATTATCTCTTCTCGAAGTCTCATAATCACCCCCTCTGGTATTGGTTTGAGAGGTGACCTTATTTACAGAATCCACATACATTGTTTTCTCATGAACATGGCTTTCATAATCATGTTGACTGCTCTCAGAGGATGCTATTTTTCTGCGAACTCTTTGATGTGGATCGGTGCCATGTCTAGATTTTACTAGAGTATCCAAAATCTCTTTTTTTGCTTTAAACCCACAGGTAGTTCTAACTTGCTGCAGAATAAGAAAATAATAACAATTAACCGCATCTAAAGTGAAATAATGGCAAAAGAAAAAAGTAGATAAAGACAAATTAATACCCCTTTTGTAGATCCAATGTAAGAAGCACCTGATTTAGCATGCATTCGATGAGCCGCTTTTCTTTGAACCTTATCCATTGTTAATCCAGGTATTGGATTCAAAAGACAGAACCGAGGAAATAGCCCACAAGTAGTAGTTGTGCATTTTTCGTATTCATTGCAGTCAATACTTTCTTCTACGTTCGCTTCTCTCTTTTTCTGTTTTTGTTGTTCTTGTCCAACAAGCTCCTTCTTGGACACATGATGTGGTGCTTCAGATGTTGCTGCAGGGAAGAACCTATCAATCATGAAATCACGAGCTTGTAGATGATCACTTGAGAAACTCCCATATGATTGAGCCTCTTGTTCCTCCCAGCCACTCAAACCAGATAAACTACAGCTCGTGAAGAATGACTCACTCCTGGAAAGTGTGTCGAGACAATCTTTATAGGATTCATCTCCATCATCTGAATAAGAACTTTCCTTCTTCATATTTCCATCTTTTGAATATTTTGCTACTCTTTTATCCAAAGATGCAACCCTTTGAGAGTTGGAAAAAAAGGAGCTTCCGGTTCTCATCTCAGTAACTGATTGTTGCTTGATTTCTGATACTCTCCCAATAGGCTGCTCGGCAGCTTGTGTCTGTAACTTGCTTTCATCTTTGGGTTTTCCTGGGGCTTTCTCCCATACAAAAGGCACAGTTCCAGCATTCCTCACAGGAACTGACTTTAACTCTGAATGGTAAGCAAGAGGAGGTGGAAGTCTGGCTAATTTGTAATCAGTTTTGCTTCTGCGGTCTGCTTCATTGGCCACTGTTGATGAGAAACGCCTCACTGATAACAGTGGCTGGTTAAAATTCAACTGTTTTTCTTCCATTAGATCTTTCAGTATCATGGAATTAGCTTCTGCGAAACACCAAAATACAAACTACACTCAAACTTAGCCTTTTCATGAATATGTGAAAGAAAAATACACTCACATTGTTACAGTGAAAGAATTCGAGAGTAATAGGGAATAGAACCACTGAGCCTTTGGATGATGTTATCCATAAGAAATTAATTTTTGGATAGCTTAAGAACGAGTTAATTCATACAAGTTCTCTTACATAATTGTTAAAGATTTTTTCTTTTAACTTGCAAGAAATCGATAACAAATATAGCTTATATGACCGGCAATTACAATCAAACCAGACCATCAAAAAAACAGAAATTTTAGTTTTATCAGTTAGGCCAAGGCCAGCATTCATCAAAAGCAGTCACGTCATTCAAGAACTAGGACCAAGAAAGCTCTGATGCTTGCATTAGAATAACAAAGAAACATATTTTTATTTCCCGTACAACATTCACCGTGTCATTCATCACCATGTACGAAAAACCAAGAAACGCCAACAAACACACACGAAAACAGAGAGAAAAAGAGTTCAGGAAAAGAACCTTGGAAAGAAAAAATGAGTCGGCCCAGGAATCAACCCACTTTCCTCGTTTGGAAAGCTAGTGAATAAAGCCTGCAAAGCAGAAGCAATTTCTTGTCTTGCACAAGGACATGAGATAAAGAAAACAAAGAAAGAAAGGAATTGCTTTGAGAATAACACATAAACTATGTTGTACGCTTGTGTCTGTTGCTTTGCAGCAGAGGTGAGTAAATCCTTCTCTTCTCTCTCTAGAGTGTAAGCACATACATTATGATCATTTCATGTTCCTCGAGACTAGCAAATAAGTGTGTGATCATGTGACAGAGAAGCCGGAGCAGGGATAACCATGAAAAGAGTTGAAAATCACAAAAAGGGCAACCCTGCTTTACGTGTTCGATTGTTGAGGAAAGAATAATGTTTTCTACAAACCTTGGTGAGAGTAACACAGATAGCAGATAGAGCAATATTAATGAGTGATGTGATTAAATATGATAAGAGAATAAAACATGAAACGTGTCAAACAACACTATTTGTAACTCCTCTGTTCTTGTGCTTCCTTCTGTTTATTTTCTTGCTAAAAGAAATTAGGAATATGCTAAATCCAAATCTGCAGGATAAGTTTTAATTATGCCAATGATGATAAGAAAAGAAAGAAACCCACGCACAAAGTAAATAACATATGCTATAAATATGATCCTTTCCTCCGCATATTATATTTAAATTTTCCTAATTAAACTAATCAACTAATAATTTAGAAGTGTATATTTGGATTGTTGTTTTAAAAACCGAAATACACGGATTTTCATTGTGAATTACGCCTCTCATGCAGTTTCTGAACATTTGCAGACTCTTGAAAGGTAGATTTTTTCTATATACTAAGAAAATATAAAGTTATAAAATTAAGCTAATTGTAGAAACTTGATTTCATCAGAATATGAGTGAAGAAATATAATATTTACTTCATGAATGCGCTAGAGGTCCTGCATGTGTAGCTGCAAATGATGTCACTTGCTACAGGTGTCAAAACGATATAGAGCACGTTTCCTAACTTGGAACTTTAGAACTATAAAATAATCATACTTTTTAATATTTATTTAGAATGCAGATGATGTGAAAATTATATATATGTGTGTGTGTGTGTGAAATTCATGTGTCATGACATGATCAACACTGTTTCACTGGACCAGTAAAAGAATTTCGGTTTGCTATTACTTTTTGCACCTGTTACTTGGGCTGTCTCAGCAAAAAGAGAAATAGTTTAAAATGTTATTTTAGAAGTTGAAAGTTATTATTTTATGGTTTGACAAAATTATTCATCACAATAGTTGATAAATACAAAACTATAAGGATTTTAATATTATTATGTCGATAAAATATATTTCCGATAATTGTAATTTTATCTTTTTAATTGATTTAAACTCTAGTCATGTTTTATTACAGTTTTTTTTATTTAATCTTTGAAATTCCATTCCTATTAATCATGATTTATGTTTTAAAATATTGTTAATCAAATTTGAAATAAAATAAATTAATGCACGATTAAGTAATTGCTATTGAGAAATTAATTTTGAGATATTTGTTATGAAGTTTTTGACTTTACACAACATTTATTGCACATTTGTTCTAGTTGAATTTTTTATATTTGGATTTAATTGAGCTTTAACTGATTTCAGTTAATTTTAAAACTTAGATATGGTTTGATATACTACATTAAAAACTCAATATGAAAAACTAAAATTGCATAAAATATTTATAAACTTAATTAATAAAATTAAAATTTTGAAGAGCAAAATCTAGCAATTACTAAGTGTAATTAAGTATTGTATTTATAAAAATATTATTTTATCATTTTTATATTTCTATTCTATCTTGATTGTATTTTAAAATTACAAAATTTTAGTTCATAAATATCTTTTATATATCCAACAACAAGAAAAATAGTATGGATAAATTATCCATTGACTAAAAATAATTGTACACGAATCATTTAACATTTACTTCTCTGTAATACAATTACGCTTATAATTTTTTTTTCACACAAACAATCACTAAAACCATAATTGATTACCCAACCCATATCCTCTCCCTGATTACCCAACCCATATCCTCTCCCCCGCGTCTTCAGCTATTATTTAACCTGATTATCTAAAGGTGTGTTTACTTGAGATAATTTGAAGGAAATGATTTGGGAAGAGTGATTGAATAAATTTGAAAGTAAATTTTTTGTTATTTATTTGAGTGGATTTGGAGCTAATTGAGAGTGGATTTGGAAGTAAAGTTTGTGAGAATTAGTGTGAGATTTGATTGATGTGACAGATAAAAAAATTGCTTAATTGGTAGAAATTAAAGATTACCAAAATACCCCTAGTTATTAAAGTAATATAAAATGATAATTGTTAATGTTATATTTAATTGTTAATCATCCCGCAAATCATTCCGCGCATTTCTTTTGAAGTGAACACAAAATTCACTTCAAATCATCGCTCGCATTTTTGCGTAAGCAGTACATTCACTTCAAATGAACATAGCATAAAAATATCTAAACCCTAACCTTCCTCCCCGCCTTCATCAAATTTTCCCCCAAACCCTTCCCCGCACCACAATCTTCTCTACTTGGCTTCGTGTTCGTCTTCTCCTGGTTGGCTTCATGTTCGTCTTCTCCTGGTTGGCTTCGTGTTCGTCTTCTCCTGCTTGATTGAGCGTCGAGGTGGAGGTGTCGAGGCATTTGTGGGTTGAGCGAGGTCGAGGTGCTCTGGCGCGCTCCCGTATTGACCGATCTTAGGTCGAGGTCAAGGTAAGATTGTGTCCGATCTTGGCTCTCTGGTTTTGGCTCTCTCGTTCTTTATTCGATCTACTGATGTTCAATCTTTTGTGTTATAACTCAAAACATTTTGTCTCTGGTTTTGGCTTCTGGTTCTGGCACTTACATAAAAGTTAATGAAACTTGTTGACGGTACCGGGCGATTTCTATTACTACAGTACAAAACATTCCGTCTCCAACCCCTCAAACCTAAATCCTCCCTGGTATGTTCATCAAATCTCTTCAATCTTCATGGTCTAGTAGTGAAAAACGAAGATATTCATTAAGTAGAAGAAGTATTATGAAACACAATATGGGTATGTTAGATACAGTATGGTTCAAAGGTTTGATGCCTATATTCATGCATAATCTAGTCTGTTTTCCATCCATAACAGCCTTGGTCCCTTCTAGTTGCCTTCCAGAATCCAGCAGCAGTCGCCTTGTTAGTTCTTGTTCCTGTAGGATACTTCTTATCTTTATGGCTGAAAAAGTACCACTAACATGGTCTAGTGTTTCCTATTCTTAGTTTTATTATTGGTTTAATGTTTCGGCAGGTCCTTATTTTCGTCCAAAATCTCAAATTGATCCTCTTCTTTTTCGGCATCTCAATTGGGTCCTTATTTTGTGAAAATTGCAACAATTAGACCCCTTCGTTAAATTGGGTCCAACGGCGTTAACGTATGGTTGACATGTCACGCTGATCTTCGTTTTTAAATGACATGGAATTCAATATATTTTGACATGTCTTTTTTATTTATTTTTTTTACACAAGAAATTGCCAACCATCATAGCATTGTCGTCATCTCCTCCGCGCTGCCACCATCTTTGTCAGACCTCCACGACCACCAGTCAGCCACTGCGACCATCGTCTTCCTCTGCGAAATCCTCACCATTTGCAACCATCGTGAATCAAATCACACACACAGAAATCACGAAGCAGAGAAACCCTTGCGGGAATCTCCATTACGCCATTGCTTATTTTGTAGATTGGGGAAAATGTTTCTAGAATAAGGGTTTCGCCCTTTCATTCACGGCGGCCAACGGGGGATGCGAAGGGTCTCTATTTTTTGAATTAAAGGCGCGAAGATGGTTCTGTGGTTTTTTTATTTCCAAGGTTTCCATGGAGGCTTCAATGGTGTTTGGGTGGCGGCATGGTGGCCGTGGAGGCTTGCAGCTGACAGCGAGCTTGATGGTGGTGTTTTGCGAACTAGGGTTTATCGCGTTTGGGGTTTAGGATGAGATCTTTCTGAATTTGTGGTTTGCAGGTTTGGGCTTGGCGAAGGTGATGGAGGTGTGCCGCAACAACGTGTTGAAGAAGACGAAGATGATCTTCTGCGGTGGAGGTTGAAGCTTCGTGCATCAATGGAGTTTGCGATTTTTGGGTTCTTCTGCAGGTTTCTGATGCGGTTGATGATGGTGAAGCGTTGAGGGTTGCGCATGACGCTTGCGAGGTTGATGGTGGCACTGAAGCGCTTCTGCGTTGTGGCGGAAAATGCGGCGGCTTGCGATGCCGATTAGGGTTAGGCGACAACGGCCAGGTGGCTTGATGTTTTCGAAGGGAGACGCCACTGTTGATGTGGTGAAGCACAAGTATGGTGGCCTCTCGCGGAGGAGATAATGGTCGTAATGGCTTAGGGTCTGGCGGAGGCGGTGCAGCATGGTGATTTTGGACAATCTCTTAGATGGCA